CACTCGCCTATAAACTGCTGAACAACTGGGCACAACCAACACGTCGTGTACTTTCCAAAAATAATATTTGTCTTGCTGCTTCTTTTTAATGTTATTTATTAACCTGTGCCTCTATTCTTTCATGATCATTTTAGTGTTTTTATTACCTGGTCAAAAATTCCCAATTAGTTTGAGGTTACTTGAGTTTTTCTTTGCGCAGATTATAATTTTTCGGATTATTTGATGCATTTCAAATTTTGGATTTCACCTCCTTGTCTTTGTTTTGTCCTCAACTTTTTTATCTTTTCGTCTTTTTTGGAAATAGTCAATTTCTCTTTCCTTTATCCATGAGGTCAGTCGATCTGTTGGGGGCTCTCACCTCCACCTCATTCGGAAAAGAAACTTCTGACAGGTGCGAGAGGCGGGTTTGATTTTTCTTTTCTTTAAAACGCTCTCATCCTTAATGTGTTGTCATCTGGAAAGCAATTTCGTATGATCAAAGTGCGGCTAGTTAGTGCGGTCAATATCCTTTCCAGCAAGCTTCTCATATATCGATAACAAGGCAGCGGAGCCGGAGCCCCTCACCGAGCTGCACTCAGGGCCTCTGTCCGCTCTGTGTGCTCACACACCGGGATACATTCCGTGCGTAAAAGGCGCTAATACCCATAAACATTACAGGAGGATCCAATATCAATACAACAAAAATATTTGTCACTGGGGGGATTTTGTTGGAAAATAATAGAGACACCAACTCGAAAAGAGGAATAAATATCATCAATTGCGATGAGGTCATTCGCAAAGATGTGCCAAAGACGCACAATTTAAGTGAGTGCATGAGTATAGGTTATATTATAATGATTTTTTTTCTCATGCAAGCATCTCTTCCCGCCTCTCTCTGTCTATCTGGCTGTATACGGCAGTAAAGAGTAAATAAGATGATTGATCTGTGGTCTATGGGGCAGAAGTGGTCCTGCGGGAAAACAGCGCAACACGAGCCCCAGGATCTGCTCCATCCTGCGGGACACAAAGCGTCTCCTTTCCCCTGGTTTATTATATTATAAGATTTTATTCGAGAAATGTTAAAAAGCTCTTGTCCTGTAGAAGGAGGATGTTTGTTCCGTCATAAATATAATTAACTCTATTACCTGTTGTGTTTTTTTAGTGACGCCTCCGTACAGTGCGACACAGGCACTTCCACCTCCCCCCTTCCCTCCCTCCCTCCCTCCCGGGTCGGAACAAGCGCAGCAGCGACCGAACTCCGAGTCCAGTCCGAGACACAGTGATCGGGCTTCGGCCTCAGGTGCATCTCTGAGGCGGGGCGACGCGGAGGTCCAGGTGGGTGAACTTCCTCCTCCAAATGTCTCAGTCTCCATTTGCCTGTTTCTTTTTACATGAGTGAAACACAAAACTCTTCTTCACCAAAAAATCCATCGTATATTTTTCATATTTTGAGGAGCTGAACCAAGGTCAAGATGTTTTCTGTCAGAAGGTTTATTGAACATTGAAAACCCCAGTGAATTTGTCCATTAGGACATAAAAGTGTGACACTTAAAGTTTGTGCCGTATTTTTATTCATTTTCTAACAGAAAAATTTCAATTTGAAACCTTCATATAAAATATTTCATCTCTATGTCTGTTACTCAGTGACTCACAGGGCAGCAAACAGTGAACATTTAAAAATACAGACATTTTCATATATTAAAAAAAAAAAGTCTTGCTCATGTGTTTGGCTTTGGAGGCTTTTTCAGTTTTTATTTTTATTTTATTTTTTGGGATATTTGATTCTTGGTTGAACATGTGTTGGCGGTGAAGCCCTGCAAACCTGTCTGTGAATAATCAAAAGTGTCCAATTCGCCATGCTATAGCCCTCGGCCATTACCGATCACATGCAAGCTTCACCTCCAGTCAGCCAATGTCTGAACTCTTCCTCTGGCTCCTCTGTTCCCCCTAATTCTTCCTGTCTGATATTAGCCCCTTGGCACACCTTAAAATTTGTGTTTCATTATTCATTATTCAGGACTCATTAATGTTTGCTAGTAGACCTTTCTGCCTGTTACACTCCGAGCCTATAGGGCAATTGAAGGACTCCCCCTGTATCTTTCCCACCATCTCCAAGCCTTGGCCCTTCCTCCCTCCTTCCCTCCCTCACCCCCCACACCTCTCTCTCCTGTGGCCCTCGTACCCCGTGTCGTCTCTCGCCGCCACACCTGGTAACTACAAACTTGTACACAACAATAACAGCCAGATGTATCCATCTATCTCTCTATCTAGCCTGTCGGCAGTTAGTGGAGTGGCTGAGAGACTTGCAGGCGTGAAAGGTCAGTTAATCAATGGCGCACAATTTGACAAATCCCAGCGACTCTTATCATCCTCACGGGCGTTTAGGGCAGAAAGGAGGACCACCGAGATAAATGCTTAATCCTGACTGCACTGTGAGAGAGAGAGTGAGACAGAGGGAGGACAAGCACAGGAGCGCTGTGAAGCAGATGGGCACGCAGACAGTTTGGGAGGTGGGTAGGTGGGGGTGCACTGGAAGAGTTGAGGAGTGGAGAGGAGAGAAAGTAGGAGATGTGGAAGTGGTCAAAGCGAAACTGGAAGGGGAACAAATGTGCACCATGTTTGGAAATGACAGATTCTTCTTTTCTCAGTCCCAAACCCAAAGAGCGGCGACTCGTCGGCTGTCAGATCATTGAATTCACCTCAGGCCAGACAGGCCAGGCACATACACCTTCTGGGCTGACAGAAATCCTGGTTCACTCTCGGTTATGGCTCTGCTGCTGTGTGTAAAGTTGAGAAAAACCTGAGGAAAACAAAGGTGTATGAGTGGTTGAATTCTCCTGTGGCATGTTAGCCCGCCTGCAGCAGTGTGCAACCAAGAGGAAAATGAGCTTTTGTCCACAAGGCTAGCCTTTTTTTCCCCTCAGTTTTTTGAACTGCAGGGGTTTGGAAGGTGGTACGATGTCATTGCCTCAGTATCACCTCAGTATGACACCGTGTCACTTGTTTTTTTTACTGAACTGTAATGAACTTTTTTATTTCTTGCTTTGGATTTGGTGTTAATTCCTTTAAGGGTAAAGATCTAAATTTTGTCACTGTCATAAAACTGGATTTCTTGAATGTATGTGTGTTGGGAGTGCACTTTTCATCCACATGCTCTTTTCACATGGGTGCGAGGGAGCTGCTTGAGTAATCACACAGACAGCCGCTCATGTCCTTTATCTCCATCTCAATACAAGTTCAATGTTATTCGATTGAGATTAGTTGCACTGGCATGACAGCAGAAGCCTAGTATTGCCAAAGCACTTAGGAGGCAATGACAGGAGCACATCGACATGCGCAAACACATACACAACAAGAACCTGCGACTGGCCAACCTTGAAGACTAAGACACACACACAAACACACACACACATGATGGAAGGACGAAGTGGAGAATGGAGGGAGGGAGAGAGAGAGTGACAGCCGAGTCAAAGGGGTTTGAGCAAAGTCTCAGGATGATGAAGTTAAAGGAAAATAGAAAGTTGTCGAAAGAGCGTGAAAGAAGAAGAGAGAAATTATGAGGGGACTCGGATGACGGCCAGAGCTGAAGTGTGACATGCACGTCCATAAAGATGAAAGGATGATTGACTCACAGAGAGAGTGATGGTGAAAGAGTAGAGAAGAAGAAGGGAGGAGGAATTGAGAAAAAAGGAGGTAGAGAAGGTGACAGAGAGCAAAGCAGAAAGAGGTAAAGGGGCAGAGAGAAGAGGACGAACAGAGATTGAACGAGCAGGGAAGAAAGGGCTGGGGACAGAAAGAATAAGAAAAGACAAGAGAAAAAGTAAGAGAAGGAGGGAAGGCAAGAGCGGATAAAATGTAGAGGAGTGATGTACGAGAAGAGAGGAGAGGAAGAGATTTACTAGAAGAGAGATTAAGTCAAGTTGTCCCCGGTCAGTCATTAATCCGATTTAAGAGCAATTAAGGTGAGACTGATTCCTTCCTAGAGAGAAAGAAATAGATGGAGAGGGTGAAGAGAGGAGGGGGAGAAAAAGAGGAGACAGTGAGGGAAAGAAGAAAAGAGTGATTGAGAGAAGAGGGCAAAATAAAACAGGTGTCTGAACTCTTGACAGTTAGTGGACGAATTAGAGGCAATGAAATAAAGGAATACAAACAGAAAACATCTGTGCACTAAACTCGCACATATTTCACACATTCTACTTCATACACACAATATCACTTAAAGTTAGAGCAACCTACATGTGTGTTTTAAAAGAAGTGTGCATGAGGTTTTGGTCATAGTTCTCTTGCTATCTTTTGAACAACGGACACTTCTTTCATGGATATCCCATGAGATCAGGATCGTACAGCTGTGGCTCCTGCTGACAGAAGCTTAATGTGAACACGACCAAACGTGACCTTCAGTTTGCATGATGGAGCTTCGCAACCAGTGAGATTATCTCTCCGAGAGCGGACAGAAGTTGTAAGACGAGTTTACTGTGGAAGTACGGTGGCCGCTCGTCGACATGAGGCAGGAAAGGGCAGAGAGGAGAGATGAAGAGAGTGAGGGACAAAGTGGATGAATCTTCTTTGAATGAAAATGAAAAAAAAAGCAGGAGTGGTGAAGGTAAACCCCCACCACCACCACCCTCCTCTTCTTCTTCCTCTTCTTCTTCCTCCTCCTACTCCAACGAAACCCCTCCAATCCCTGCTCGGTGTGTGCTCTGTTGTTCCAGATGTGTATCAGAGGTCTCGGGGTCGACAGAGAGGTCCCTCCACTGCTGTAGCATTTCTATGTCTATTGGGAGATGGTGGTCCTGATAGCCCAGGCCGCCTGACACGTACACAACAGTACATAAATCAAACGCACACATACACGCACTCACTCCATTTATCTCCCACTCAAGCAGTGCGGTGATAGCAGCCAACTCTGCATAGAGTCAGAGCGAGGGAGAGGTTGTGGTCTGTCTTGTTAAGTGGGAAAGTAATGGGTAGCCGTAAAAAGGTTTACTTCTGCCGCTGCCATCTCTATTGTTCAGGCCTTTTCCAATGTTTGTGCCTCTTTTGTTTGATGTGCTTGAACAGTGTATAGCACACTCGACTGCGTCCATAATTGCTGTTCCACATAACTACAGGACAACAGTGTGTTATTATGAAACCTGTTAAGGCAAAGAATGGAGCAAATTGAACACTGAGGTCATAGATTTTGTTTTGCAACATTTCAGACAGCTGAATGGAAATGGTTTTACATGATTTCATTGACTCACATATCTCCATCATAGGGAAAAGTAGCTTATGCACATCTCCTTATCTTCTTTCATTTTCTCATCCTGGCTTTTCTCCCATCAAGGTTCTCTCTATTTTTCTGTGGCGCATCCATTGCAGTTTCTACCAATCTGTAGCCCAATCACAAGTCCCAGATTGAGAGGCCATTTGGCTGCTGTTGACAGGAGGGAGCAGCTATTGACAGGGCCCTGCCGGGGAGGCGTGTCTCGGGTCCCACGTCCAAAGCGTTTGTGGCGTTTAATATACTGTAGCAGTGGTCCTTGCAGCCCTCACCCTGCATGCTACTGCCATAGGGATCAATATGCACTGGGTTAGAGAGAAATGGACCATCTGATGCACACTCAGAGAGGGGGATGAGGGAAAAAGAGTGAGAGAGACAGAAACAGTGGGGAGGGGTGTGGTTGGGTAGCAGGCGATTTAAAGGGAAAATGGGGGGAACAAGCTTGAAAAACGGGGAGATGGAGAGACCAAAAGGAGGTGAGGAGAAGAGAGGAAATGATTAGAGGCACATTTAAAAAGAAAGAGGTGGAGGCAGAGTGCTGCCCAGCGCGGAGATAGATCGCAAGGAGAGAAAGTGGTCAGTGGTTGAAAGAGACATTCAGCTGGGAGAGAAAACAGATTGGAGTGAACGGGGATAGACACTGAAGAAGAGGAAGACTCTAGACACTAGGGAGGATACACACAGGAAAGGAAAAAAGACATAAGGGAAGAGAGAAGTAGAAGATAGGAAGGGAGAGGGGGGTCGATGAAAGTGGGGGCAGAGAGAGCGAGAGAGAGGGGTGTGGGAGAACTACGAGGAGGAAGGGAGGGGAGGGGGGTAAAATTTCCATCAGGTTTTCAATTGGGGCAGATCAATAGTGTATTAGAGCTCACCTTGACCCCGTCTCTCCCCCTTCTCCCCGGCCCAGCACACAGGCCAAGCTACTCTCCCTCACAGCAGGGGACGGAGAGGGGGAAGAGATTGCATTATGGCCTCCCTTTCTCAGACCAAAGTGGCAGAAAATGGCACAATAAAAGCAAGAGCGGACAGAAAGAAAGAGGAAAAACTAAGTCGCGGTGCGCAGAAACAGAGT